GAGGGAGAATTTTGGTGATTGGTCGATCCAAACGGGTTTGAAATAGAACTACGAGGGATAGTTAGTCTTTATTTTTTTGTATTTACTTTTTTTTCTAATCTAGTTATTATCATACAATTTATTAATAAAGTACTGACAGTACCACATCTTTAAAAAATTAAAAAAAAAAAATTATTTCGACTAGTGTAGTCATCTTGTGAAACCTTACCTTTAAGAGACGTATGGAATTTATGGATTGGGAGAGCTTTATCTTTTGGAATCTATCATAAGAATTGATATAGTCATATGGATAAACACCCTTACGACTTGCTAGAGAAATTTGTTTAGGTGAAAAGTTTTTGAAATAATTGCTTGTGATAGGGTGGTTGTCACCCAAATTTTTTGTAAGTGTGGCTAAGCTACTATTCATGAACTGCATGTTATCAATATACTTGAGCTGATCTACTTTTATAGATTTATATTACTCAAATGTTTCGGCTATAACTTGGATATGAAAAGTATTAGCTGATCACCCAACTGACTCACAAACTAAGTGAGAGTCATAACCTCAGAAGTTATGAAAAATGACTGGAATTGGTATCTTTCAATCTTGTATCTGGAGTTTGAGATTGCCAATTCCTATGGGCTGATCTATGAAATTTACCTGTAATACGGTAGTGATTCCAGACTTTATTAGCTTTAGCTTTTTCGCTAGCAATTGCCTAGTCGCTTTATCAATAGTTATTTCAATACTATTATATTCAGCTGAACCCTTTTTAAACTTTTCTAGCTTCTCTTTAAGATTGGTTATTTTGTTCTCTAGATGCCTAATTTCATCTATATCTAAATCAAACTTACCTTTACAGATCCAACAATTAATTGCCTTTGCGAAATTTTTCTTATCTTTTTCGGTCTCAATTCACTCATGTTTGATGGCTAGGATCTTATTGATTTTGACTAGCTCTTGATCGATTCTTTAAACGAATTCTTGTGTGGCATTTTCTCCCTTGTATAGGAATGGACCTCATACATCTTCAGTGAACCAAATAGCAGAAACTGTTGGCCTTCTGTTTAGTGAGTTTACTCATACTTCTACCATATGTCTCATTACATTTCTTATTATCAGCCTCAAAGTCAGTCATAATAATACATGGGATATTGATCATTCAGCCATAGTTTTTAAACTCCTCATAATCATTGACCCATTTTACTAGCATTGCGATTCTTTGAGAAGCATTTTTATGTATTCCTGAATACTATTCTAAATGATGTTCTAGAGACTTTTCAGAAGACCAGCTTATAGTGTATCTATCACATAGATATTTCTTTTTTTATGCGTATTATTACTATATATTAATCTGCTAGGATTTTTGATCCAGAGAAAGTGATTCTTTTGACCGTATTTATCTCCATCCTTAGATTTGATAATATATGTAAGAGCTAATAGCTGAATTTTATGTTTCTTTTGAAGTTTTTACTAGCTATTACAGTTTTGGTATAGCTGTTTCTTCTTTTCATTTCCAAACACTATAGAGATATCTGGATTCATCTCCTCAATCTTATTAAATATACGTGAGTAGATAGGAGTGGGCATTGAGATTCCGTCTAGCTTAACTACATTTAAATATGATTTATATTTGGTAGCATAAAAGATTCTTTTAAGATTATCTATATGTCCATTCTGATTTGCGAAATAGCAACTTAATGCATCTTGAAGACACTTTTCAGATAGTTTATTTGTCATTAGATCTACAAGACCTTTATTATCTGGATTAATAGTACACTTTTTATTTGTGAGCTTCTTTGGAATAGGAATATAAGATCCTCCTTGAGTTCGTCGCAAAGTATATACCTCAATAAATATTTCAAGAATTCACTTAAGAATATATCCAGATCCCTTTTTTAATGTTTCCTCAATCTGATTATCTATTTCCCCTGCAGTTTTTGTTATATGTTCATCTATATCCCCTTCTAAAAGAATCGATCGCATTCTCACTCTTTGATGTTTTTCTATATATGATATATCTCTTGTACCATTTGGGTTTCCTTTAGTAATTGAATATAGACACAATACTACTATGGCTGATTTTATTTAGTCTTTTCTACAAAGCTCTGTTTGGAGAACTTCTGTTATTGTCAGACAAATTAACCTCATAAGTTGAGGCATATATAGAATATTTTTATATTCTACTGGATTTGATATTGGTTGGATAAAAGCATATATAGGATTGTTTTCAGGATAGGAAACTTTTCCTATCCATTTGCTCATTAAAAATCTATTTTTATGTGGTCTTTCTAGATCCCTTTTAACTGAGCATTCTTAAAAGTGAATATCCTCTTGAGTAGATCCTTTTAGGATCGTGTCTTATCCCTCCTGAGCGTCTTGTTACTCAACCACGCTAGATCCAGCTTCAAGATCTTTTTTTGTTGGGAAATTTTAGTTTTCTTTTGTTTTTTACTAGAGGATTTTTCTATCAAATCGAATCATTCTACATCGGTTTTGGGTAGTTTTTTGTTGGTAATGGTTGGGTTATTTTTTATCTCTAGTTTTACTAACCAGTTAGCCAAATCCTCTATAGACAAATGAGTGGTCTCTTGAGCGTCTTGTCACTCAACCATGCTAGATCCTTTTTTGTGATTTCTTTCTCAGATATGATCTACTGGAGTTAGACTTGGTACTAGTTTTAACTTGTATTTAAACTTTCTATTTATATGTTGATAAAGTTTTTGGGATGTAGCAAACTCATCATCATATCGGTCACAAATTCAATTACCTTTCACCATTCTGTTTTATATATAGTATCTTTTAAACTTTTTTTTTTAAATAATTATTTACCTTGATGTGGGTTAATTATTTGTAAGATATGATACCTTTACATATTTTTCTCTTTAATTAATTATTTTCCTATATATCAAAATAATCGGAGAATATTTCTGTCCATATTTGCACAATATTGGCAAGACTTGTGATAGGCCTTATATACGTGAAGAAAGGTGTCATGAGCATTGGAAAGCTAAGATACGTGTACTATGTAGTATATGTGTCAAGCCTACTAGCTCGTCTTCTGGCGATGTCTACTACATGTTAAAGGTTATTATGTGATCTAATACTATAACAGATTATATGATAAAGCCTTAAAAAACTCAGAATAGATAATAACTTTTGGTTAGATACTTTGGATAAACTTGGCTAGGCGAATTTTTTTTGGTTAGACTTTTGATCTTTGTTATGCATTTTAGGCTTGCATGATCAGGTCTAGCTCAAATCATGTCACTTTGTTTCTTGATTTTTGATAGCCCCCTTCAGAGGCAAGCAGAATAGTATAAAAGTTAATATTAAATTTGGGTTTGCAATGTTAAGCCTAGCTCAAATTGCGTCACTTTGTTTCTTGATTTTTGATGGTCTCTACTGAGGCAAAAGAATAGTAAAATTTTTTTGATATATTATTTGAGATTAAAATCAAGCTACAATGGTTATATCAAACATTACAATTCTTGATATCAGACAGGCCATTTCCTAGCCAGGTTCGATAATATCATCTAGAATTGAGTCAAAATGCACTAAAGGCTTGAATTCTATAATTTGATTCATATAGTTAAAATTGATTTGTAAGCAGATAGAAATCTTTCTGAGTACTAATTAGATTTTGCATCAGAATCCCCTTTTTAATCTTTATCATAATGAAGATCGCATAGATAGCAAATATACAATTTTTTATATTATAATGTATTAATTTATTATTAATTTATACAATTAATTTATTATTTAGATTTGCTAACATATTATCAAACCACATGGGTTCTTGGTTCTTTAATATATCATTATTCCTTAATGTCTTATGAAGCATGACAAATGACACTATTTGATACTAATGTTGCTAAAAGTGCCCATGCAATAATTAATTGAACAGGAAAATTATTAAAATTAAAAACAGCAATATTAAGGTGATTTTTTTGTTATAATATCAATATAATATTATTATGTTATAATAAATTCTTTATTATTGCATTTTTAGAGGATAGAAGCATGATAAGTGTATTTATAAAAGAATGCAAATATATCAGCAAACAGGTGTCCTATGTTAAGTAAAGATAAAAGTGATTATGAAAAAAAAATACAAGCAAATTAGAGATTAGGTAAAGTATTAAACATTTTGTGATTTTTATTTATTATATATATATTTAATTTTTTAAAAACAAATAGCTGGAAAATTGTTTAAGAGAATAATAAAATCAACTAAGAGAAAACAACATATTCCAAAAAAGACAAGAGTAAGCATCATTGATAAGAAAGATAATAATACAATGGAAGTTGATACAATAACTTGTAAACTTGAAATTGAAGAGCGTAAAATTATATTAGAAGAACGAAAAATGCAACTCAAACAAAATTGAAATTGATCTAAAGTTAAAAGAATTGCACTCAAAAAAATGAAACAGGAACTGAATGAATAAATAAAATGGGAATATATTATTGTGCAAAATGGTAGCATTACTTAAGGCTTTAATAAATACAATTGTAACATGCAAAATAATAGGAAAAATTTCTAACGTCTTTATTAAATTAATATAAATTTCATTTCATATAAAAAAAATAAATAAATTCATTTAAATAAAGAATATATATTTTTTTACTTTTGATTTACTATATATGAATGCCAAGTACAAATATAATATTTATTACTAATTTTTACTTAAGACTATTATTAATATTCTTCAAACGAACAAAAATTATAGGGTCAACAGGTCTGATATAATATTAAAGTCTGATAACTATTTGCAATACAGGTATAATATTTTATATGTGTAGTTGCGTACCTTATCTGCAACTTTAGTTGTATGTATTAATACTACTAGGAAACAGGTATGATATGGTTGATAAATGTATTAATCATACTAGTACGGTGTTAATCGTAATTATAATTAAACAATCATACCGTAATTTATATACATTAACGTAACGTAACCATTTAAAGAATACTGAAAAATTATTAGAGCTGATTCAGTAAAGTTAGGATGAAAGGCATTTATTGGTAGACATATTTATGTTAAGAGATTCAACGTATGGAGAATCTCAGTTATTATGAGATAACAAAGATCATTGTAAAAGGTATAGAATTTAAAATTTTTTTTTTTTATGTAAAATAGCTAAATTTAATGAATATCATTTTTCAAAGACCAAATTCTCTTAAATAGAATAGTTTTTAAGAAATTGAAATAATCATCATCTGGTTTTTTTCTTAAATATTAAAATTTGAATTTATGCAGAATGGTACGTACATATTAAAGATTTTTGAAATCTTCAAAAAACTTTGTTAGATAATAACGATGAAATTTCTTGTAAATTTGAGAGTTTAGATATAAATGACAATAATATATACAATAATTTATGAATATTGTATGGTGATTATTTATATTAGTTAATGTAATACATTGTAA